TCAGTCAACTCCTGGATATACTTCTCCCACTCGTCCCTCTTGAATGAGGCCACGTATAGACTGACCAGTTTGGAGGCAAATCGGGACACAGTGTTGTCAATGCATAGCGAATAATAGCCTGAAAAATGACCACAAATTCATGCTATCATTGCTTTTGATAACTTGCGGTTCAATTGAGAGCCATAAACGAGATAATTATGGATATCGTGTGAACCGATGGTGTGATAATAGGTACGGACCGGGTGTTTGTACGGCCGCCTCGTCGTACTCGGCGTGCGCTTTCCACTGGTAGGGCATAACGAACTGTCCCATTGGGTCCCGGATGGCAAACCCTGCCTGACTGTCACCCCCTCTCATCACCTGCAAGTGTGCGGCAAATATGGGCTTAAATATGACTCAAACACTGATCCATATGTTTAGAAACAATTGATAGATGAATGAGTTGTGGAGGAAAGTGATGGGAAAGGAATATATATATATATTGGAGCACAGGTAGGGACAGGTAGGGGCAGACAGGTATGTCTCACCTGAAAGGCCACGTATAGCGAAGACGAGGGTTGGATGTATTGGTAGAAACAGTCTTCCTTTCCGGCGTCGATATGTATTTTAAACTCATAAGCGATGCCTAACTTGTCCTCAAAGTTATCAGAGCTATAGCTCTCTGAATGGGTCTCTCGGATAAGGAAGACATGAAGGAGTGAAACGACCCAAACATATGTTAGTCTTCGGCTAAGAAATACAGCCATCGCTTCATAACTCTATTGACTGACTCTCACACCAAATGTCATGTTTATCTGGCATTCAAAGCCCAGTCAGTCTGTGAATGAACATCAAGTCTGGCAGTCAGTGCTCTCTTTACCTGATCTGTCAATACAGCGATATCTAGTGTTTCCCTAACATAGACTCCATTCCTAAGTTTGCAAACTTTCAAACTTTTTAATTGTACCCTAATTATAGGAATCAATAGTTTTTATATCGATATACATTTCTCTAATGCTCAAACTCTATTCAATAATGTTCTAGCACATTTCATACTACCATATTATCTACTGTATATATTAATGTTTAAAAGATTTTAAGAGTTTTCACTACATTTTATTACATGTATATGTTTTAAAATTTATTTATAAATTAAAATTTGAGAAATTTCTATTGTAAAGTACAGTATTGCAAACAAGAGTGTCGTTTAACGCAATTAAAAAAACAATTAACACTTAGAGGCAATCAAATTATTGTGAACACATCAGAAAATGAAAATATCTTATTAATCATATGAAATTCAAAGTATTTATACTTAGAAACCGGAATTAGTAGGAATTTTTTGTGGTATCATTATTACATAAAAATTCAATATCACTAACAATCATATGAAATTTACCTATATCATATGCCATAAGTTGTTATCAAGTACATTTATTACGAATACATCTAATAATTTCTAATTTTAAATCTTTGAACTAAACTCTTGGTTATTTTATATAAATACAAAACGCTAAAAAATGAGTTCACTTTTATGTGCTTTTATATGCTTTAAAAAATTTGAATCAATTGATGTGAATGTGGGCACAAAATGTCAATTACGGTATTATAACAAAGGAAGAGTACTTTCATATATATTATGAAAACGGATCCAAAGATTAAGAAAATCTTTAAGATTGGCGTCAACATACAATATGTACTTGACAATTTGTGAACTCTGGCATATGCTCTTCACTTATCTCTTTTGTAAACCTTTATTTAAAAGCCGATCACTTCTCACACTCACTCAAAATTGTGACAAAACTTTATTATTGCTGTAAACGTTGGTTTGATTTAATAATAATACTATAATACAAAATAAAGAAAATGTATTTTTCGTCCATTATTTTACTTTGTATTTCAGTGGTTATTGAAACTAATGCTAAAAGTTTGAATTTATCCAATTTCTCGAGTTCTGTACCTGATGATTATATAACACTAAATAATGGCATGAAAATGCCAATTCTGGGAATGGGAACGGGAGGCAAAGAAATGACACGCGATTTGGTGTATAAAACGGTTAAAAACGGCATCGATGCTGGTTTTCGACACATCGATTCGGCTTATTTTTATGGCTCTGAGCATGAAGTCGGATCAGCCATTACTGAGAAGATAGCGGAGGGCAAGATCAAGAGGGAAGATGTCTTCGTCACCACAAAGATTTGGAATACGTTTCACTCGAGTGCCAGAGCTTCCGAGGCCATACAGATGTCATTAACTAATTTGAATATTAAATACATAGACTTATTGCTCATGAATTGGCCGATGGGGTATGAATACATTGAATATTTGTCATTTCAATGATTATAATAATGTGTTTAATATTATAGATATCAAGAGGGACCAGATATGGAACCAATGGATCCATACCAACATATCATTCCGTCGCCAATTGATTACATCGACACCTGGAAGGAAATGGAGGCCGCTGTGAGAGATGGTAGGGTCAAGTCGATAGGGGTTTCCAACTTCAATAGTAAACAAATTTCAAGATTACTTGAATTCGCGACAATCAAACCCGTTATCAATCAGGTATTCATGAAAAGAGATAACTTTAAGATTATTATTAATTGTGATAACAATGAATTTATAGATTGAAAGCCACCCGACTTTGACTCAAAAGCTATTAATAGATTTCTGTCATAATAAGGGCATTGATGTGACCGCTTATAGTCCGTTAGGTGAGGGCAAACTCATGGAAAAGCCAGATCTCGTCAAGATTGGCAGCAGTCATGGCAAAAGTCCGGCACAAGTTATGATCAGATATCAGATCCAGAGGGGAGTGGCTGCTATCCCCCGTTCCATAAATAAGCAACATTTGGTCGAAAATTTTAATGTATTTGACTTTACATTAACTCCGGCGGAGATGACGACCATAGATAATATGAATCGTGATGTGCGATACTATTTGGAGCAAGCTGCAGAGAAGCATGAATATTACCCATTTTCCGACCCATATTAAACGTCACCAAATCAGTGTAGTCGTTCATTTGACCTACAATACAATACCTATAATGTATAATATTACCCATTTTCCGACCCATATTAAAGGTCACCAAATCAGTGTAGTCGTTCATTTGACCTACAATACAATACCTATAATCTATAATCTTACCCAATCTATAACGGTTCCGACCATCATATCATTGAATATGATATATCGTTGCAATCAGCCCAATGAGTAGATTAAGAAATTATCTTCTTTCACCATGGAGGAATATTAGCTGATCCAGAATTTCTTAATTTACTCATTGAGCAATGATTCGATGATCGGAACAGTTAATATTTTAGTATTTTAGGTATTGTAGGTCAAATGAACGTAGGTAATATCATAGACAACCATTAAGGCATTATACTGTAGAAACTCTATTATTATTTGATACAATCAAAAAAATCATAAAAATCATTTCATTCAAAAATAGATTATATAAAAACTTTGGGTTATATCTAAACGACAATTCAATTGTCATTAATTGACATATAAATGACAAAATGATTTCTGATTTTATTTACTTAAAGGATTACAGAAGGGATTAAACGAAGTTTTTTATCACTTTTTCGAGATTTTTGTTTTCAATTGATATAATATTTTCATTTCCAAAGGTTATGAACAAAGATGTGATTAAAAACCGGATTTTGAATACAATAACGATAACATTTAAAAATATTACAATTTAACTCAAATACAAACTGATATTAATATGTAAATTATTATTACTGACAAAACTTGAATAAAAGTTTTTATTGAATAAAAGTTTTTATTGAATCAAATGTTTATTTTCTAAGCCTTCGTAACCTTCACTGACAGTCGCATTGGCTGTCAGTTTAGGTTTGTTTTGAAAACTCGCATCAATTTCTCATTTAATGTCATTTTATATTATAATCAAATGATTACTTAATTTAGTTTTTACTCAATTAATTGTGACTTAATATACTTTTCTATATAACTGCTTGTGTTCAATATAAACGCAAATTTTAATTTAATTTAATGTTTGTTTAAATTAAATAAGTTTTTATGACCAAAACATATTTGTTTACAAAAAAAAGTTTTTTGACATAAAATTCAATTTTAATTAGTTTTCGTAAAACTAATTAAATGTTAATTAAAACTCATTATTATTATTATATTTAATCCCTGTTTTACTCAATCATTGATTAGATTATTATTAATCAGAAAACTTTGTAAAAGTTTTTAATTTTACAATTAATTTACTCATAAAAGTGGTCATAGTTTGAGAGATGTGTCGACGAGTTGTGTCCAAAGTGTTGCGATCAGTCTTAGCGGTGATAGTGATGGCAGGGATGGGCTGTTATGGTATGAGTTGTGTGGATGAGAGCGGGACTGCCATCGATTGGTTCATTGTCTACAAAATGCCTAAACTTGAAAAGTCTTCATCAAAATCGCTGACAACTGGTTTCAGCTATTCGTTTATCACCGATAAGTCCATCAAGTCTTTGGACGACTGGACTCTTTCTGACAAACAGATCAACGAAGAGGACTCCATATTCGGCCAAACCATTGGTCCCCTCATTAAGAAGTTGGCCAAGTCTTCATCGGACGTGTCTTATGTCGTATACAACGATCAATCGCCAGGTATTTGTCGCACCATTTCCGCCTTCAATCACATAATGTGAATCTAATCCATGGATCAGATTCTTCGACGTCAAGTGGCGCGCACTCGAAGGGCTTGTTTGCCATCGACTCGAGCGGTGGCTTTTGGTTAAGACATTCAGTGCCCAGATTTCCATCGCTTCACAAACCGTATGACTTCCCCCACAACGCCAAACACAACGGACAGACGGCCCTCTGTATCAGTCTGAGCGCCAAAGACACGCAAAGTATCAATAATATAGTCTTCCAGTTGTTGGTCATGAGACCAAACATCTATGGCAGCGATATTCAGGACGCGTTGATCGCCAAATCGGATCTATGGCTTCAGTTGAAGAATAAAAAGTGGTTTAAAAACGAGACTCAAAGCCAACTCTTGATTCAGACTAAAAATCGGTATTTTAGAGAAGTATTGATATAAATATGAAACAGATCTGTAATATTGTCTTCATTTGTATTGAAGTCTGGTTTTGACGAGTTTTGCCAAAAGTAGTAAATATGAGAAAGACTTGTATTCGGGACTAATTGCTCCGCATTTCATGAAAGACCTATTAGTGCAGAGTTGGCGTAACGGCGCCGGCGAGAAGTTGCCCTCAGATTGTAAAGACACTTATAAAGTGCAAAATGTGGACAAAATCCAGATTCCGGATCAGAGTGTCAAAGACATCGATTGGGAGTATACTGAAGACCACTCCAAATGGGGTATCACTAGTGATAAGGCAAAGGCTTACACTTGTATTGCAGATATTAATCGCATGAAATCCCAGTTTAAGAGAGGGGGCGGAGGAATGTGTATATCTTCAGACAAAGTGTGGCACATATTCATGAAATCTATTGAACAGATCGAAGGCTGTCAGAAGAGTACTATTTTTCAGGCTATTATTCGCTATGCATTGACAACACTGTGTCCCGATTTGCCTCCAAACTGGTCAGTCTATACGTGGCCTCATTCAAGAGGGACGAGTGGGAGAAGTATATCCAGGAGTTGACTGATCACGAGGTGACAGTCGGCAACTTCACCAACTCGTTGCGAACGGTGGACAACAATATCGGACTTATGATCAAAAGTTTGGATCACTCGCGAAGAGTGAACTCCGCCGACTGGTATCTCGTCGATGGAAACAATAGGTCTGTCCCGACGTACACTCCGTCCATATTCTGCTCGATAACCAGTTTTGCAGAAATCAAAGAAAAAGTTTAAAAGTTGACACAAATATCACTGAAGTTATCGATGACTTAGTTTTGTGTTTAAGTGCTATTTTAGTCACACTTTTATTTATTTTCCAGAAAATTAATAAACTAATTGATAATTTGTCTCAACAGATATGTCCAGAACTGGTCTATAATCTCAATAATCATAATCATTATCTCATCGGTGGTTCAGGTGTTGTTCGTCAAGAAACTCTTTGACTCGAAAGACACATTCAAAGGCAAACCTCGAGCTTAAGAGGTGTTCCATGGGTTCAAAAGCGATTGTTTAATGTCTAACATATTTATTGAATGTTACGAATGGACGCGAAATTGTGACTCTTTTGTCAGTTGATGTTTATTTTGATAAAACTTTTTATAACTTATAATTGTTTGTAATTTATATGATTATATCAACTCTCAGACATTCCGACACTTGTGTTGTTAACCTTAATTGTTACCCAAAAATCAAAAGCCAATTGAAACTCATATTTCTTAAGAACTTAAATTATTTTTATGATTAAAGATTAAAAACTGTTTTTATCAAAAGTTTTGTTACAATTATTTGTCTCAAGAATCTCATCACTGTTTTGTCAGAAAATGTGTTAAAAAGCGATTCATAGGAAACGTGTGGAAAATTGAATACATTTTTATCCCTAATATGACTTCACTATAGGATTGAAATGCACTCAAAATATGTGCCTTTTATACAAATAAAGCCATAATTTGTGTTCAATTTGTGAGCATTTGTTATGAAAACGATTTGCAAATCAAAAGACAATTAAATGGTTTAAATGTGAGATAATTGACACAAATTGACCACAAATTGATTGATTGCGACAAGACTTGAAGCTCAGAGCAGAGCGTGAAGACAATGGACTTCCAGCACAGACCGGGGGGTAAGACAGGAGGGGGTGGGGTGGCCTCGTGGGCCGAGACGAACCGGGACCGACGGGAACGGCTTCGACAACTGGCCCTCGAGACCATAGATTTGGCGAAAGACCCGTATTTCATGAAAAACCATTTGGGGTCCTATGAGTGCAAACTGTGTCTCACTCTACACAACAACGAGGGCTCATACCTGGCCCACACCCAGGGCAAGAAGCACCAGAGCAACCTCGCCAGGAGGGCCGCCAAGGAGGCCAACGACTCGCCCTCTCTGCCGGCACCGGCCAAAGCACGCGTCGACATCAAGAAGTTCGTCAAAATCGGACGACCCGGCTATCGGGTCACCAAACAGCTCGACCCGGAGCTCAACCAACAGTCGCTACTGTTTCAGGTCTGGAGCCGATGTCTTAACCCATGAGTTGTATGACTGATGCTAATGATTGTCTCGTTTGCATTGATCCTTAGATCGATTACCCAGAGATCGGCGAGAATATCGTTCCGCGACATCGGTTTATGTCGGCGTACGAGCAGAAGATAGAGCCGCCGGACCGTCGCTGGCAGTACCTCCTGTTCGCCGCCGAGCCCTACGAGACGATAGGCTTTAAAGTGCCGTCCCGTGAGGTGGACAAGACTGAGGAGAAGTTCTGGACCCTTTGGAACAAAGAGGCCAAACAGTTCTTCCTCCAGTTCGCCTTCAAAGTGGAGCCGCCGAAGGGGTCGGTGCCTAAGTTCCCGGGAGGACCTAATGCCGAGACGGGGCCACAACCGCCCCAACAAAACACTCCTAATTAGTGATCCGATTGTGTCTCACATTCATTGACTGATTTGTAAAACAATTTTAATTCAATAAAAATCCATTCATTTGTCATTTGATTGTCGACTCGAGTGGACGTAATGTATGTCTGACTTAAAGCACGTGTTGTTTGTATTTTGCGGTAAACACTGATTGCATAACCGATGGACTGATTCACTGATTCACTGATTGTCTGATGCCTTCAAATGTGTGGACATTATGTCGTGTTTTGCGAGAAATCTATTGATTAAAGAAATGATACGAAAGAAGAGGTTATTATTATTGACACAAAAGTGTCGCACGTTTTGCACGAAAACTGGTGCCGAAAGGANGATACGAAAGAAGAGGTTATTATTATTGACACAAAAGTGTCGCACGTTTTGCACGAAAACTGGTGCCGAAAGGACCGGCGATGCGGCCGAAGACGTGGATGTGATATACGTGTCGAAGACGGGCGAGAGGACGGCCGTGAAGGGAAGGGTGGGTCAGAACGCCATGTATTTGGCTCACGAGAGCGGTGTGGAGATCGAGGGCGCGTGCGAGGCCTCCCTGGCCTGCTGTACGTGTCATGTCTATGTCAACCAACCCTTCTATGACAGACTCCCGGAGCCCAAGGAGGACGAGGAAGACATGTTAGATATGGCGCCCTTCCTGAAGGCCAACTCCAGACTAAGTCCGTCAATGTCTACCTCTCATTGTCTTACCATTCAATGTCGTTGTAATTGATTTGTGTCCCCAAAAGGCTGTCAAATAACACTCACCAAAGAGTTGTCTGGCATTGAGCTGACACTTCCAGCGGCCACAAGAAATTTCTACGTCGACGGCAAGAAACCAACCCCTCATTGATTGCGGACATCGACGACAAGAAGTTGTCGATAATTAGCCATAAATTGCGGACAAATGTATGAATTTTATATGGGTTTGAATGGCTCGTGAAGTGTTTGCCACCAATTGGTCACAACTTTCAAATTAATATTTATTGCTTTCAATAGTATTTAGTTTTTAGTCATATATTTGTGTATATTTCTGCGAAAAGTTTACAAATGAAGACATATTTTAAATAAATAGACATTTTTGTGATAATAATATTATGATGTCAATTGTGGCTAATATTAGGGCACTTATAAAGTGATGATTACAGGGCCGGCGACTCAGCGATGGTGACCCCAGCGATCTCACTCTCAAACGGATACCATTTGATGAAATAGGGACCGAACGCCCACTTGTCTGGATGTCCCTCATGTCTGATGGTTTTGGATAACTTGGTGGTCGACCACTGGAACGGCTGATGCTTTTCATAGGAAGGACTGCTAACGACTAACATTTCAAAGCTTTTCGCCATTTCTTTTGTGGTGATCTTCACGTCAATAGCGCCCCAATCCCTGAACCCGAGCGCCTCGAAAGGGTAGGTGCCGTTGGGGTCGTTGAGGTCATTGCGGGCGGCGATGGCGTATTCAGAGGTATAGGGAGGCCTACAATCGCAACGGCTGAGCGAATCGTTTTCGTAGTCATTATATCTCATAAGACTGTAAATTGTTGTCAAATCTCTCACTTTAGACTAATTTATTGCATAATAAATGATTAGTTATGAAACAAAACATAAATAATTCAATACTTGGTCTCTCCTGAAGATGAGAGCTCTCGCCGTTTTGTTATACGAATAGTAATCTCCATAAAGCTCTTCGAGTCTATTATATCCGCTTATATTAAATATTTGCTCAAAAAAGGGAACGTTGTAAGAGGCCCAGTATCCTTGACTTCGCAGGATATCTCCAAATGGCAAACAGTTATGCAAATTACTATAAAGAATGCATTTTGATTACTTTCATTTGAATACCTGTTAGGTCTGCAGACTTGATGAGAGACGGCATTTGCTCCAAAACCCAGAGCACGTCTGGGCCCAAGTCCTGGGGTTTAGTGTCGACACTAAACCGCTTGTAATCAACGACCATAAACTGGTCATTATATGTGCCGCTATTGTATTCCTCGAATATCTGTGACCACTCGTTGCCCGATTCAGCCAAACGATTGGCCACTAAATTCCTTATGAACTCCAGAACTATACTCTCGGCTCGAATCCTAGTCCACAGTTCGGTATTAATATTGGTTATCGAGGTTTCTTGGACTACAAGTCCCGATGAGAGGATATAGAAATCGTCTATAGATGTTAGAGCGCCTGTATTGTCACAATTTGAGACATGAATTAAATGATCGCTAAAATAGATGACAGAAATGATTGAATTTAGGCTAAAAGAAAGGACAATAACCAGGGTATGAAGAGAAGGCAGAGATTCTTCCGGGTATTATCTCATCACTCTCACCGACTCTGCGGTAATTGAGTTCATATTTCTTGAATACCCTTAACATCATACTATACCAAACCCACGTATTGTGGGCCACATATAAGTCGCTTCCGTCGGCCAATGGCTTTACAATTGCAGAACAGGAACCGTCGCGTCCTTTCGACTTAATTGTCTTGTTTAACATTAACTCAAATTCATTCAACTCTGGTATTATAGTGAGTGCTATAAGTCCTCGGGAGTCGACTTGCATTCTGGGTCTGTCGGGTATGTGTGCCCAGAGTTTGACATTATAGCCGTCTTGAAGTCCAGTCAATTGCTCCAAAACGAGTCCGATTTGATGCCAATATGCGCTCACATTTCGCTCAGATCTCGCCCTTTCTTGTGTTACATTCAGATTCTTATCCAAGAATTTAAACAGTTTTCTGCAATACTTTTCTTGATTATCGCAATAGAGTTCAATTTGATTTCTCCAATGCATTGCCATGAGATCAGCGGTCAGGTAGCCCTCTATGAAGCCGGCGTGATATGCCTGAGCGCTATCGTCATGTATGGGGTTTGTATGGACTTCTAACTGTGCGAATCTGTTGTGCAAGATCATTTCTCATTTAAGTGATTACACTATATTTAAATCATTTATTATTCTGTGGGCATTGCAAGAGTAATTGAATTCACGAGTGAAAGGGTTTCTCTGGGACTGAGGGCTAGAAAATAGTGATTCAATTAATCAATAATTCATTAAAACTTAGAGTTTCTCTATAGAGAAGATTTGCATAAATTAATTGTTGTATAATTAGTTTGATTGAAAACCATTTGTCAAATGTGCTTCAATTGTCTAATTAATGTTATTTGTTTGTTAGCCTTCGGAATACTAACTATAAGTATTAATAATGTAAAACAATTTATGTATAATATGCCAAATAAAAATAAAATCCACTTTCAAGGGTAAAACCACTGATACGGGAAAATCCAAACCTCATCCCAATTTGGGGGCAGTCGTAGTCGTTAAACATTTAAAAAACATGTAACCCTTAGAAAGTGAAACATTTTGAATTAAATAAACGCTTATCTGTTATAACTTATTATCACAAGAATTGAAACATTACTACACTTAACGTGAAAACACATTTTGGCCCTTTATATTCTGGTAATTTGTATGCAAAACGAGTCAAGACTTAAGTTTTAGTGCACAGAATATAATTTAGTCTCACATCACAAATATTAATACTATAGTATATACATGACTGCCCATAAAAAAATTTATTATCCAATATTTTGACATTAATTAACGGTTGTGTCAACGAAAGTAATTTCTTATTTTAGTTTGTCTGTGAATAAACTTTGTCAAAGTTTTACTAATATAAATATTATTAAGCTAATATAGAATTATATTTATTTTATATAATGTATTATGAATTTAAAAATTAGACTAAATTGAAACAAATGATACAAACCCGGTCTCATTGATTGTGTTTGAATATAAAGCCCATGCGATGTAATCACTTGGTATGAGTTCCTCATCGGTGGTGAAACTCATACGAAAACTTTTCCAATTAGTTTCCGTCAAATCGGACACATAATAGAATATTCTTTCACTTTTGCTCACAATTAATGAGTTTATCATTAAAAACAATAAAACAAACATATTATACGAGTATTTATTAATTATTAACATTATATTGAATGAAATGAAGAAATATTATTTTCCAAGAAGTTGTCTGATGAACTGAAACAGGAATACCACACAACTTATACATACACTTTTGAAAACCTTAAGCAAACATTTCACCAAGTATTCAGGAAACTTTTGTTTTTGATTGTTTATTTAGTATTCATATTACTGTACAACAAAAGCTCAGGAGATATAGTTTGCTAAATACCTTTTGTCTGATTAATAAACGAGTTTCCCCTCAAAAGTAAAATAGATTTTTATTTTTACAAAACAAACATTTTTAACATATGAAACGGCATTGAAATTGCATTTTTGAGACATCAATGAAATCTCAGTCAATAGTAGTTCACTGGCCTTCAGATGCTATTATTATTTAAAAACATTGTTTTACAACCAATTAATT